GCAGCAGCAGCAGCAGCAGCAGCAGCGGCAGCAGCGGCGCCAGTAGTATTATTACTGCTGCTACTTCCACCACCACCACCACCACCACCACCACCACCACCACCACCACCACCACCACCACCACCACAGCTCTGCTGCAAAGCTCGCCGTTCCCGTCCTACCCTTCCCCGCTCCTACCCTCCCCCGGCCCTACCCTCCCCCGATCCTGCCCTAGCTGTCGTGGAAAGAGGATCCTGTAGAAAATAGAGTCCGTGTACCTGCTGCGACCTTTGCCTTGGGCTTTGCTTTCGGACCATGCCAGCTCAACATAGACTAAAAGAAGTAGGCGCAACTCGCCTGGTCAAGGGAAGCAGGCGGAAGCACTTGCGCGTACTTGCCCCTGTGCGCCATGTACCTTGTCCGGGCTGCCAAAGAAGAAGACAACGAATCAGACGCCTTTGCCTGGCTTGGCTGTCGTCTTCCCCTTGGACAAAGGAGTCGCCGAAGAAGATGCTGCGCCAAGCTTCCTTGCTTTTGAGCTTCCCTTCGCCAGACCAGTGACCCTTTTGTCCGCAGCGTCGGCGAGACGTGCGGGACTTCAGCGCATTCGATCGCCTTTCTCTCTTCAAGGGACAGCTCTCCCCGCACCTCGGAGTGCTTGGTGAAGCCATAGTGGCCCCTGCGCTGAGCTTGTTGTCGATTGAAGAAGGCCTCCGCTTCGACCTGCAGAACCTCGGCAGCATATTCCGCACTCTTTTGGTCAGTCCGTGAGTCGACCTCGTCATAACCAGCGTGGTATGCATGGTTGCCGGAGTCCTCATAGCACTCCGCCGCACAGCCATCCTGGTCAAAGTCACCATGGTAAGCTTTCTCCAGGACTCCAGGTTGTCGGCGGACTCCTCGGCCTAAGCCGCATAGCCATTCCAGCCCTTGCCTTTACCTTTGTGGCTGGGCTTGCCACTGAACCTTGGTCTCCAAGTAGTCGGTTGCCCCTTCTCTTTCTGGTGAAGGCTACCGCGTTGATTAACTGGTTCGTCACAGACGCCCTGCACTGTGATCTTCTGGCCAAGCACCGTCCTGATCATCTACATCTGGTCGTCACTGATCTTCGCGTTGTTCAGGTTTTTTTTCCGCAAGGATCAGCTCTGGCAACTTGATTTCGGAAGCAAGATCTTGCAACAAACTCCACCAGGTCCGTCGACAAAGAATGCACATGGACATCGCCTCGCCATACTGCCTGCTCAGAGGCCCGTGTTCGCGAGCCCCGGCCAGATACAGTTCTCTCGCCTCCTGCTGCCGGCCGCAAGGACTCTGTGAGATGCTTTGCAATGAGGTCCGCGCCTTCATCCGCTGCCAGCTCATCTCCAGAGATCTGCCTCACGATGTGCAAGGCAGGGAGGCGAAGCCCCTCAACCAGTCTGACTCCCAAAGAGCCTTTCTTCTTCAGCTGAGCTTCTTCCATGCCCTTCTCCTTCAGCACTCGCATCTTGAAAGGCGTACTCCTGCAGATGGTGAAGATTGCCATCGTAGCGAGGGATGCCATACTTTCCTTCGGTTGTTTCGCCCACAGAAATCTCCATGAACTTTTGCCAACTAAGGCCGTCCAGAAGCGCCATGGCGACAAAAGGACCAATATGTAAAGAACTTACTCAGGAAGATGCCTTATGAAAAACTGACGAGAAGCCCCAAAAAGGTTACTTGGAAAGCAGACAAAGCTCCGCTGCCAAAGTAAAAGCTGACAGCCCCAACGCACCATGAGAAACACTGCAAACGCTCCTTTTCGCATTGCTGCAAGTGGCCCGTGCATACGTGGGGGCACCCAAATACAATTCTACGAGGGGCTGCGTCTGGGCCATCCACCAAGCCCCAAAGCCCAAAATCCAAAAAACCCTTATAACCCTGATTCCACAAAACCCCACAAACCCCCAAAGCCCCAAACTTTCAAAACGCTTATCTCCAAAAGCCGTAAACGTAAAAGCCCTAGCAACCCTAAACCCTGAAAACACTAAACCGCAAAAACAACCTTAAAACTAAACACTAGAAACCGTGAATACCATAAACCCTGCAAACCCTAAACCATACCCTTAACATCCTAAACCCTCAAAGCCCTGAACCCCAAAAGCGTCCTCGGAATGTCTCGCTGTAGTCATAACCCACTCCGCGCGCGCGGTATGTCCAGACGCCAGCGCGTGGAGCGTGCTTACAATTTTAGTTTTACGCGGAAATGATAACCCTCTCATTCTCTCATTGGCCTGGCGGTTTTCCGGTTTGCGCCTTCCTGCTTTCTGATTTGCACCTTCCTGTTTTCCGTCTGGCGCCCAATTTCTGCTCCGCGGGGGCTTGATTCGCGCGTGCGTTTTCTGATCCGCGCTTCTCCCATGCCGGCAGCGAAGCTGGGTTCCAGGCCGGTACGCCTAGCAAGGCCTTAAACTGAGGAAGTTTTCCACGATGTATTCAGATAAGCAGTTAAGGTTGCAGGGTTGCATTCAAGTTGGATATCTTCCAGCCTCAGCGATGCAACTGGTTTGGTCAATAGATCTCGCGAGAGTCTTCCGCGGAAAGCACGTACCGCAGCCCAGTGCTCCGACGCGCTTTGGCAGATCTGGTGTCGAGAATCACACAATCAGATAAGCGGATATAAAGAGGTGCATACCTGTCGAAGCATCGTCTTGCTCTTTTCTGTTGGTCCTTTCGTGTGCCTTTCCCTTTTTCCCCTTGTCTAGGGAACCTCTTGCAGTCGGGTAGACGGTCTTGCAGACCTTCGAGAGTTGGGGTCTCCATGGGCGGAAAGGGTCCAAGATGTTGACGAAGCTCATGAAACTTCTGGTATAATTGCGTGTCCACTGAATCGTCTAGCAGAGTCCGGCAGTGAGTACAAGGCGGAAAAGGAAACAGTCCTCAGCGTGAAAAATCATCTTTCCTGAGCGTCCCTGTAGGTGTCCTGAAGCCATATGAGCAGCTTCATGACAGCAAGCCTCGTAAGCCTCCTCCATCCCCATAAATTTAAAATGGTCGAATTGTTCTACAACTGTCTGCTGCGAAGCTGCACTCACAGAAAAACCATTAGAAACCAATTCTCCAAACACACGCGCTGACACATGACTGATATGGCAGCAGCCCCAGCAACAATCCAGTGAGCCACCACCGGACTAAATCGGAAAGCAGCTTGCGCCATGCTTTTTTCAGCTGCTTGCATCTTTAGCCGCCTTTGCTTTTCTCTTCTTGGCAGGGGGAGCTTCCGCTGCCTCAAGTGGAGCGAAGGCGCTGGTACATCAGATTAGCCGCACTTCACCTAATGCACCAAGATCCCAAGATCCCTGCTCCTGAAGAGGCAGCCCCTGGATATCTAGCCTTGGCAGGCTGTGGACGCAAAGCAGCAAATGCAGCAGAGACGAGTAAAGGCATGACCAAATTCTGACTACTGCTTGCGCTCCAGTAGCCACAAAGCCAGCTACGTCAAACTTTCGCCTGGGCCGGCCATGCAAGCTAGAGACTATCTTCTTCGTCACATACACTTACAGTAGTATCTGCCGTGTGCGTCTTCCTGTCATGACCGGCTTGCTTTTCCACCCGCCGCAGAAACTTGGTTCACCAGCTCCTCGACGTGACCTTAGGAACTGAAACTGATTCTGATCTGTCAACGGGAACGATGACAGCAGCTGGGCCACTGTCGGCAAATTTGTCCCATAAGGAATCGTGAGTGCTGGCCTTCAACATGGTTCGAGACTCTGCAGGCCTGCTGACGCGGGATCGAATCTACTACGCTCCTTGCCCAGTGAGGGCACTGCTCCCCTGGCAGCTTGAAGAGCCAAATTCCGTCTGCCAGCGCCTGCTCGGCACCGCTTGCGTGCATCAGGGCTGGGACGTAAGGTTGAGGTGGCAACCACAAGTTACAGCATTGCTGAATGATCACTTAACCGTTGGCCAAGCGGCTGCTGCAGGGAGCCCATGTGGTTTGCCCAGCTCAGCTGCCAGCGGGGAGTCCTGTGGACGAGCAACCCCTGCGTTTTCGACACCACCGGGGACCTTCAACCTGAACGGGCAGCGCAAAGACACTTGCAAAAGAACACTTCGTGGTGCTGGTAAGGAACAGGTAGGAGTCGAAGAAACGTGGACAGGCAGCAAGAAACTCATCAAGGATGCTGATTTCCTTGGATTTGCTCCATGTTGTTTGATGGACACACAAAAAATGAAGCAACTAAGTAGAACCTCTGCAGGATTGCTGCTCCCCCAAATACATGAGCAGGCAGAGCTGACATGGATGAGCTGTGCTGCAAGAAGGCGGAAGGTACTTACAGTTCGGCGCAACTGAAATGGAAAGACAAGCTTGGGAACTAACACTGGGAGATGTCATGGTCTACGCTAGTTGACTAATTTGCGGATAGCGAGCTTGGGACCTTGGCTGTCCAGATATCTACCACCCGAAGGTGATCAAAAATAGCTTCAGGCAGAGTCAATGGGGGAAACCCGTTAACCCTTACCTGAACAAGCGTATTCTGCTCCGTAGCGACTTCAGCTGCCAGGGCTGCAGGCGGAATTGGCACTCCACACATCAAGGCCAGTGTTTGCTTCCCGGACAAGGCCTGAAATCACAAACGGCCGCAGGAGTCTGAGAAAACTCTGTCGCATCACAGGCCCCCGCCAGCATTGTGGTAAGGAACATGTTCACAGTGTCCCGACCATACACACCTCAAAGCAGTCGAAGGTGTCATGGCTGCCAACGCAGCTTTTCAAAGGATGGCCCAAAGGCGTCTTTAGGATCCTCTTCGGTGAACTTTTCATTTTAACAACATTTGAAAAGTGTGGTTATGCAATGCAGTGTAATTAATGCATCGAGGAGCAGTTGGCTGCAAATATCGCGTCGGCACCATCGGCACCCAGCATTGCAGCGAGCCTATCCCGCTCCTAATTGACGGCGGACGCAATGGTGAGATGCTCTCGAGTTGGAAAGTCCTCTGCGCTATCCCAGTTGAGTGGTTCAGCACGCCAGCTTCCTCGGGCTGGTGGACCTCGCAGGCCAGTCAGCAAGAGTGACCGGGCCGCACAATTTTTCTGCTGGCTCAGCTCCCGCCTTCCTGATTCAGCTGCAGATTATACTCCATGTGGGGCAGCAGCTCTGGCAAGTCCGTTGCAATAACACTGGCACCAAGCTTCATGAGAGCCTCCCAGATTATCGAGACACTTGCTATCCAAGCGCAACATATCGCCCTTTAACTGGCTTGCTGACCAGAAGCGCTGCTTACGAGGCAGCAGCCAGCACCAAGCTCAACTGCACGGCGGCCGTGCCAAGTTGCGTGAGGATTGGCCTGTCCGGGAACTTTCGGGCAACTTTTGTACTAAAAACATGTGCGTGGCCCTGGCTTCGGCCGCCCATGTTGCTAGATCCTGCAATCAACGGAGTGCAGCTTTCAAAATTCGCGTAGTCTTACTCACCCTGGCATGAAAGCATGGAGCCTTTGCAGCTCGGGTCACCACTCCCCCTATGGCATTCTGCATGAAATCCTGACCAACAAGTTGCAGTACGGATGTGGCTAGTTCCAAGTCGTGAATATGAAGTACAGCCTCATAAGTTCGCACTCTGAGCGTGTCGCTGTCAAACAAGTGCTCCTTTTCACCTGCCTTGCGAAACACAACTACGCAGAGCATGGCATATCGACGCCGCGCATGTGCTGGTCTAGCCAGGAGACAAACTCAGCAAAGTCTGTGTCCTGACCGCCAAACAACCAAGCTAAGTATGCAAAGCCTGAATGTACCACCTGTGCCATTACGCAAGTCTGTCCTGTGCATCAGCGCTTCTCTCGTCCATGCAGACTGTGCAGCGTCTCTTACATGGGCTGCGGAAAGGGCTCCCCTGCTCCTTCTTAAGCTCTTACAGGGTAGCCATGCATCCACTTACCAGCTGCGCAGCAGCATCGCCACTTCTGCTCTACTTGTTCAGCTGGGTACTGCCAGGGCAGGTCTTGTGGTTGGCCACTAAGCCATCAGTGCAGATGAATGGAGCCCTCAGGCCGGGCTGCGTGAGTGCAGAGTGTAGATTCTGGATGTTCGAAGTGCTTGAGATCTATCTGGATAGACGAATCCTTGGTGGAGCTAGGTTCATAGATTGCCGAAGTGGCATTGCCAACGGTCATCATACAGCCGTGGCTACCTTGCTATTGTTTACGAGATATGCAGAACACCACGCCTCATGCGCAAGCTGTGTGCCAAATGCTATTGCATTTTCGTAAGCACACTGTGTCAGCTTCGGCTCAGTAAGCCTGGCACTTGCAACCAGCATAGTTCATGAAGCGAATCTTCCCAAACACCTGGTTGCCAGTCCAGGTCCATGAGCAGGTCAGCAAAATTATTCAATTCAACGCGTAAAGCATCAGAATGACACAGGACCTCCCTAGCACATGCTTCGCCATGCACGGGTACAATGTGTGCTTGATCATTTTAGCCAAGCAAGGCCCCGGCACGCCTCACCATGTGCAGAGTTGAGTCTAAGGCCAATACCTCTCTTTCTTTCCAACCCATGTCATGGACCTGGATTCTGGATTGCGGCAATATGCTCCACGGATAGACATTGCTCTCGTTGCTCAGTTGGCTCAGAGCCATGCCCCACAAACACTCCACATGCAGCCCACATAGCCATTGGGGTCACGGCCTGTCAAACAGGTGAAATCATGTGAGCTCACCAAACCAGGTCCAAAGACCTTCTGATGGGGCAGCATGCAGCTGGGTTCACAGCCATCAAGCTCGTAGCGATCGTTCAGCCAAATGCATCGCTCAAGAGCCTCCTTTGGAGATGGCCTGTGGAGGGTCTCTGAAAATCTAAGGAAACGCGAGCATGAGCCAGCTTCCCTCAATCCACTATAAGCATCAGACGACCATTCAAGGATCTTCTTGGCCTCTGGCTTCAACAGCTCTCTGGAAGTCTTGCTCTGGAAGTCTTACTATGTGTTGCTTCAGTCTGATGGCGTGTGCATGTAGAGACATGCTGGTGTCCCCACTCAAGTTCTGACAGTGACGTATCCACCCGATTATATACTATAACATGGGGGGGACCTGTTCAATTATGATCCCAAAAGCGACTTATAGAATGGGGGAGGGGTGGCTTCATAGGCAACTTAGAGACAAACAAGTATAACAGGGGGGTTTTGTAAAACTTTTTCTACAAAAGCAGGGCGGTGACTTAAATTTTCGAAAAATAGAAGCCTCCATAGCTCTTTAATGACCCTTCCTTAAAGAAATACGAATATAAATCAAAGATATGAAGGGCTGACGTACGAATAAAGGAAGCATGCTCCTAAAAAATGCATACACATCATATAACATCATATACATATATAATATACACACGTATGTATATATATATATATATATGCGCTACCATGCGTCAATTTGTCAAGTCGTTTACTCTACACCTCCCTCGCGCCAGTGCTTGGTACCACGTCCGCGTGGCTGCGTCCTGCGAGGCCATCCTTTGTAAAGGGGTAATAAGTATGTAGCATGTGAACAAACAGGTTGGGGCAATTGCGTGGAATTGCTCACAAGACCATATAGGACAGCTTAGAGACGTTGAGATCGCGCTCTTAACATCTCTAAGCTGTCCTATATGGTTTCGGTGAGCAATTGCACGCAATTGCCCCAATCTGCTCACATACCTACTACCTCTTACAAAGGATAGCTTCACAGGACGCAGCCACAGGGACGTGGTACATGGTACCAGGTCGTGGTGTGAGAGAACGTAAATAAAAAACTAAGGGTTTAGTTGTTTTTTGTGATTCTTTTTTTTCCCCTTTCTTGTTTGGTGGCTGGGGGCCGGGAATCGAAGGACGCCTCACACGAGAGCGCGATTCTGAAGCAAAACCGGTGACTGATGAAAATCACGGAAAATTGCGAAAGATCATGCAATGAGAGAAAAATGATATAAAAATGATGAAAAATAATGAAACATGATGGAAACGATGGAAAATGATGAACATGAGAAGAAGGTATAGAAAATGATGACAAATTGGGAAAAATCATGAACATAATAGAAAATGATATAAACATGATGAAGTGATAGAAAAATACTAAAACACAATGAACATAAAGAAAAATACTGAAGAATGATAAAAACTGACGAAAAAACAAAAATTTATGGAAAACTATTGAAAATAGAGAACAATCATGAACATTAAAAGACCGGAAAACCCCACATGTGTAGTTTAAGCTAAATCTATGTGAGCTGATATTAGGATAGTGTCGCCCGCCGAAATAAGACATGTTCGAAGAGGAGGTGAGAAGACGAAACGACCGTTGTAAACGATGCGAGGAGCTGGCGACGCGAACGCGAAGTAAACACATGTTTTCATTTTATGACACATGATCACCATCTCGCTCTCGACATGGTCGTTCGTGTAGACCTGAGCCAGGTTTACTCACATGTCCACTAAGACTGAATCTCGGACAGCGTGCCACGCTCACACCCTGCAACAGATTATTTTTTTGCGTCTCACAATAGGCGCAGATGCCGGGAAACCGCCGTTCGACCAGGTAAGTTTTTTTCTGACTTTGTACTCCTTATTGTGTCGTTTCTGCACTGGTAAGTTATCCTTCCTGTTCGGGAACCACTTCGTGGTCTTGATGAACTGGATGTCAGTCAAGCCCATTGCAGGCCCACAGGCTAGCAACGACACAAAGAGACGGGCATCCACTCGAGCAAGAAGATCAAGCAAAACAACAAACTG